ACAGTGCTCGACTGGCGTCAAGATCTCATCAATCTAAATTTGAGCTGGTTATATGTAACACTACAATTTATGCTATTGGTTTCTTTTTCGACTTATTGCTTGTGGAACCCCTTTCCGGTCCATACGTTCCAGCCAACGTTAATCTTAATTAATCTCGAAAATTTAAATGCAATGTCAATCGATATCTATTGTACTCCTCAGTACTCTCTTCTCTTTCTGCCCATCATTATTGATTCTCTTGCTAATTTTTCCACACCCTTTAACCACTTATGTTTTAGTGGTATTACTGCCTTGCATTGGGTGATATTTAATATATATATATATATATATAATATCTACCTAACGCACTGTCTTGTAAACAGTCTTTCAATTATAACCTGAGCAAATACACAGACACGCGCACATACATATATAATATTAACAAACTTTGAAGTCAACAATTTACTCATATATATATATATATATATATATATATATATATATATATATATATATATATATATATATATATATATATAAACAGACCTGTGCGAACTGAATTCAAAAATATACCCAATATACAATATCTATATAAAAGTTTTATATCCTTATATATGTTCGCTTTCAAAATCTGATATATGTTTATCGGAGATTTATATATATATATATATATATATATATATATATATATATATATATATATATATATATATATAACACTGTATCTGAATTGCATATTTCAAGACAGACAGTTTTTAAGGGTTTACATTTTGTTTTTGTATTTAGCGGTCTAAATTCGTCCTTCGTTTTTTTTTCTAAATGCGCGCCAATCACATGAAAAGATCTGGACATATTGTCTATATGTCATTTCTTCTTTAATCTTTCAAAGATTATTTTAATCTGTTCTAAAATAAAAAAATGAAAAACAAGTTGCAAGGACACTTTGGAAGGAATATTTAATCCGTTCGACCTTTATTAAAAGTTAAAGTTCTTTCGCTGAAGATGTACACTATATATTTTTTTTATTTATTATGACTAGACGCCAGTCAATTTGCCTGACTGTACGTCTGTCTGTTCTTATCTCTCAATGACTGTCTTCCAGACACACACATAAACATATACACACATATATATATATATATATATATATATATATATATATATATATATATATATATATATATATATATATACATATATATATATATATATATATAATAGGTGGAAAAAATATATATATATATATATATATATATATATATATATGCAAATATATATATATATATTTTCCACCTATTTTTTATTGTACATTTTCCTGTTTTAATTTTGAACTCCTGTGGAAGCCTGAAGAGCGGGAGCGAAACTGGTTGCTCCCCCACCCTTGTTGTTGTGTTTTTTGTTTTTTTTATTTAATATTGTTTTAATATGTCTTGTAATATTAAATTTTATACTTTTATTTCGATCATATATATATATATATATATATATATATATATATATATATATATATATATATATATATATATATATATATATACGAGTTTTGTTGGTGTCCCAGGTCTTTTTAAGTGGATCAAATATTTATCCCTTATTTCCTGTTTAGGATTTGGTTTCCGGTTCCTTCTAAATTATACTTCCATTTTATACTTCTAACGTTTCAGATGAAACTCAGAAAGTTTATTCAATATTTATTCATTGATTTCGATAGAAGTAGATAGATTCGCCCGTCGTCCGGTGTTTTGAGCAGGTGTAGAGGTGTATCCCTTGTTTGCTCTTTAGGATCTACTCTGTTCCTTCCATTTCTAAATTTTCCGCCTAAACTCTGAAATTGTATTTATTAATTTATTTTAACCTCAGTAATATTAGATAGATAAATGTATTGAGAATACTTAATACGAACAAACCAAGTTGCACAAAAATTCTCATGAAAAATAAGCAAAAAATCAACTACGACAATATATCCAAATCCTGTAACTATATATATATGTATAATCATTTCCCAGACAAAGCCAATTTATTAAATAAACGATCAGATGTTATCACAGAATGTAGACACGTAGACCAATTTTTTCATTGTCTTAAAAATGGAAAAATAAAAATGAATAGCTTTTAAAATTCCATTAGGTGAAATGCAAACACATGCACTGTACACAACGCAGATATTGTAACTTAGTTTAGACAAATCTGAACTAAGCAAATAAGATGACCAACAAGAAAGTCATGATCAATAACTAATCAAGTTAACTAAATAATAAACAAATTAACAAACTATGAATCCTCAATAAACAGAATTAAATGTAATAATAAAAATCAACAACAAACTCTGAATTAAGAAATACAAAACACACTATGTAATCAATAATAAGTACAGCTAAGAAATGGCATTATAAAATTTCTACAAAAAACCGCATCCGATTATGAATTTAGATTCGCTAGAAAAAAGTAAACACAATGTTAAACTAGAATACATAAACATTAATAAGAACGAAACAATAGGCACAAGCATAAAAAACTCAGCATA